GCACGTATCAAACAGTGCATGAAAGCGAAATTCTGGAATGATCTGGATGAAGTTAATGGTTAATTTTGATTTAAAACCCGAAAACAACGTTTTTTGAAAAGTCGACTTTGGGGTGCTCTTCTAAATTCGTTTGCCATAAAAAGGTTTTGTGTTTGCATGCGTTTTAGTTGACTACCCAAGCTTGGTCTATGCCAGAAAAGTCGGGGCTACTCAAGCCTCGAGAATTTTTTAACCTCGTCCCGAATTCGGGTATATTTGGGCTCTTCATAAATTTCTTTTGAGAGATTGGATGGCCCACTAAATTTGTAACTATGCTCATAGAATGCGCCCATTAAGTAGTATTAAATAAAATTATGACAACAATTCCAGCCTCTCAATTGAATTTTATAAACTGGCATGAAGGTCTGCGAAATAGCACGAGCCAACCGTTTTGGAGGCGCTAAAAAGCAACCTTCCAAAGGGGTACGGTAGCTAGAAATTGTTTACATGGTAGATAGACGCTAGTCCTACACAACGAAGCAAAGCAAACACCGAAATTCTATCTGCAATTTTAGAAATCGGTTTCCAAGATCAGTTTCGAGACCTCGAAAGAATCCATGACCAGGGGTCGTCAAAAACTCAAAAATCCGCGGTTCTGAAAATTTTTTTTGATATTTTTGTGGGATTGTATCGAGCCTATAGACATGCTAAAACAGCTTATGTTGAGGGTTTCTAACATAGGTTTTTTGTAATGTTCGAAATTTACGAAATTTCTCCATATTAAATTTGAGCACGCTATAACTTGCCAACCTGACCTTCAAAAATTCCAAAATTCCGGATGTGCGTAGGGGCGATCCTGAGGTACCTACACTGTAAAAATTGGAAGTGTTCGACCACCAGCAATCCAAAAAAATGCAAACGAAGTTTTGCCGGAACGCACAGTTTTCGGGTGTCATTTGTATGGGTACGTCGCCAAAAATCGAAAAAATCAAGTTGAGTTATTTCCCTATTCCTGACATATTTAAGCATTCTGGCATGGTAACGCACGGTGAAATATGTTTCCTTGTCGAGTTAATTGGGGACAAACTTGGGCACTTTTTTTTGGGACACCCTGTATGAAATATCTTTTTTGTATTCGCCCCATGCGGCGGAATGCAAAAAACGGCAGCGCCCCCACCCAAAAAAATTATAGGCCATTCAGGGGGAATTTCGGAGGGGGCTGAAAGGGCATGTTATTCACACAGAAATATTGTGGATTTCATAAACACCGTCATTTATTTGAAACTTTAAAAATACTTTCGGGAAGATACAGAGAAAATTTAAAGGAAAAACGGAAATTTCAACTTTTTTTCAAGGTAATCTTGGATACCTATGAGTTCATCTTTTGCGAATCAACAACGCTGATTGATTAGCTATCAAAAATATTGCTGGCAGTGTTATTTTATTCCATAATTTTTCTCGAATGGCCCGGAACATCGATCTGTGTGCAGAACTCTTTAGAAACGCGAATCCAGTATTGATTGTTCATACTTGTCCTAAACTAACTACCTAACTACTGTTGGTCAAACAACTTCTTAATAGAAAAATTAGGATACTTCAATTTAAACTTAAAAATCTTAAAATCAACTATTTTTATGAAACATTTTATTTTTGAATGTTTTCCATTCTTTGACCAATGCAAAATTTATCAAATAGTTCAATATTATCAAAGTTTGCGCAATATGCTTAGTATTTAAATTTTCTTGCCAAATCCTTTACAAAGATTCACACGAAAAGACTTTGAAATTGTCTAAGAAATGAAAAGGTATTGTTCGAAATAATTTTTGCACAATTACATCTATTAGTGCAACATTTATTTTTACCAAAATTACAGTAATGGTTAAAAATTTTTATGTTGTAAGTTGGAGAAAAAGAACTATTCAATTGCGAGGCTTGTAAAATATTTTCAGAGCTGTTAAAAATTAATTAGAAAACTCCGTTATTACCAAGGATTCAAAATTTGCGGAGTTATACCACTACGAATTGCCCTCGTCAATTTTTGCTCAACTAGGCATTTCTACGAAACATCGATTATTTCCAAAAAAATCTGAGACGTCTGATTTTATAGCAGCTATTCTCTTCAATAATCGCCACAAACTGATAGGCCCTATTTATCCCCATTTTCTCGTGGAAATTTCGGAAAATTCGCTTTTCGCGGAGGAGACTCTGTATTTCTCTGTTTTCCGACCGAATCAGAGGGGGGGAGGCCATGTTTTCCCTTTTCCGGCCCCCTCTTTTTTTCGCTCTCCTATCAATTTCCTCCATCCCATTCTCCACTGACTTACACCGACACGGCTAGACAAAACTCTCGCGCGAAAAGTTACTTTAAAATAATTGAAATAGTTTCTTTTTTAATTTAATGGTATCATTTTTTTTGAAAAACGTTGGAAAACTTTATAAAGTTTAAATAATCTGGTAAATCTAATTTTATCATGACAACAGCTCAACGAAAAGCCTTTCTGCATTTTTATCAGAACCCACCAAAAATAATCAATTTAGAATTTATATTTGAAATCCTACTATATATAAAAAAAATAGTGTCTGTGTGTGTGTGCATTTGATTCGACTGCACGCACATAAAAATTTCGAAAAATTGTGATTTTCGTTATTAAAAATAGGTTTTTTGTTAAAATATCTGCCACCCTCTTTGTTAGGAGGAAATTAGCATACATCGGAAGTGGAGCTAGCTTATAAAAAGGGAGGGAGGGTGAGGTTTTCATTTTTTGGTGATCGGTTTTCGGCAAGAATTATGCAAACTCAGCACTTTCAAAGGCCTAGACGGGGCCAGGGTTGAAAAGCCGCGAAGCGGTTTTTCAACCCTGGTTAATTTATTAATTTAATAATCGAAACCTCAATTATATTCCTATCTATTTTATAAATAATAACTAGTAGTAGTATACAATTTATAGGACAAATGAGGTTGATTCCATATTTGTGCACAAATGTTTCACGATAATCCTAACTAAAGCCTCGTACTTTGTACCGATTGAATCTAGGTGTAACCGTGCGTAGCCCAACGTTTTATGAAACATTTTTTTAACAAGTAAAATAATTTTTTTGCTTATTTTGCTCCGGTTTTTTCACTAGCTCCGTTTTCCCAAGCAATTCATTTGTATTTTAATAGTTTTGAACCATTTTATTAAAATACGAGCGATAATCCCTAAAAATATCCTAATTTCTCATCCGATGCGTTTTAGATTTCATAACTTTTCCTATCGTACGGCCCTATTTTTCCGGCAATTTCACACGAGAAAGTAACATGTTTCTCCAATGCGACAATGCGCGCGGGGCAAAAATATTTGTTTAAGAATTTCGGGGTGGTACTATTTTTACAAGCCGTGACTAAGCGATGGTCATCAGGGGATCAGGTTTCGATCTTGTTGAGATTTTTGAGGTATACGCAGATTTAGAAGCCCCGTTAGAACAACGAAAACGCAATCGCATTAAATTATATCGATTTTTAATAGACAAAAAAATATTATCTAAAAATTGAGGAAAAATGTTTGCGAAAGCTTTAGCACGGGGATCCGTCTTTGGTGACGATAGCCGATTGATCCTGGATAGTAGAGTGATCCGTGATCATTGCCTCAAAAATATCAATTCTTGTAGCAAAAATGGAATTTAATACTTTGGAAAAATAACTTTTGAGCTAAAATAGCCATTATAATCCAATGCATGAAACGTAAAAAAATTTAACTCGGATTTCCCCAAAAAGACAAGTTTCGACGTCCCAGTTTAACGTATTCACTATATTTTGTACGAGGTGTCATTTGACTGCTTATCATGTGTGTTTTTTTTGGAATTCCAGCCAAAATCCCGACAGCCATACCCTCGAAAACCGGAAATCCCGACAGCGAGAATCTTGATATATTCGTAACGGGTTTTTAATCACATTTTTAAAGTGCTTGCTTGCCTGTCGGGATTTCGGATGCCGGCATGTTGGCTGTCGGGGTTTTGGCTGTCGGTATCTTGGTTGTCGGCATACGGGCTGTCGGCATTTTGCTGTCGGCATTTTGTCTGTCGGGATTTTGGCTGTCGGTATTTGATGTGTCCCTCTTTTTTATGTTGTAGAACCTATTAAATGACCAGCGTCAGAGCTGCGTGCCAAGGCCAGAAATTGGCCTCATCATCGTCGGGCCCGCCATCTGTTTGTTTACAGCTTATCGGGGGTACCCGATTTTTCCGGGACCTCGAAAATTGGCAGCCCAAAATCGAAAATAGGTTCATTGGCGGTTGAAACATCATTCGATAATTTTTGAAAAATATTGAGGGCTTTTATTGACAGGTCTTTTTTTCCAATTTTCGTATTTTCTGCCGCGTTTCGGCCTCAGTTACGGTAGTCCGATCGCTTCGTCTAGTTGACTTTAGTTTTACGGCATCTAATAATCATGATTTTTAGATTTCTCAGGCTCTCTAGGGCCTTTGAGCAATTTTTCACATTTGAAATTTTATGTTTCTGACTTCCCAGTCCCTTAAAACGATACGGTGACCTTAATCAATGAAGATATTTTTAACCCCTGATTTCATCCCTTTAGCGTTCCCATCTTTCCATCAATTTATCACTGACGCTAACGATATGTAATTCCAAAAACAAAAAGAACAAAATGTAAAAAGAAAAAATGTAACAAAGTACATGTACCGGTTAGTAGCGAGGCCTATCCCAACGTCCTAATGACGCGTATTTGAAACATTTTTTTCCATGAAATACATTCAGATCTTATGGATTTGTTAGATTTATATTTTATTGATGATGGCGCTCTGTATTTCTCACAGTTTTATTATCTTCGACTTTGACTTTTTTCTGGCGATTTCCTTAGCATTTAAAAGTTTCATTAAGATGTTTCATCTATTTTTCTTATATGGCAGCTATTGGATTTTCTTAATCTTATCCAACTTTTGTCTTAATTCTATGACTGAATCAAGATGTTTAAAATGTTAATCCTTTAAAACCTTTTTAGTTTCAGAAATCCCCGGATGCAAAGATGACATCAGACAAGCGCCGCATTTTCCCCGATTACATCCCCCCGCCACCGTATCGTGAGAAGCACGGCCGGGTCGTCGATGACGAGGTAATTTGCATTTTTGTCTTCGTAAGCATATAGTTTTTATTAGCCTATAATTAGCAATTAAATTGTGTTATTAACGTGATGATTATTTTTCGCTTAGTTAATTTAATTCATCAAATAAAATTAGAATTTAATTGAACTGGACTACAGTGCTTGCATTGTGCATCCAGTTAGAACAGACATTTGTTGTTTGCTTGAAACATTGAAAGTTAAAATTGAGAAATGAAAGGGACAACCAACTTTTACATTTTTGTCACGCCACCTTTCGTCTCAACATTAACCCTCTGAAAACATATTTTCTGGCTTATTTTTCATGAAACTTTATTTTTTTTGAACTGTCCTAGCAATATTACGGAAGCTTTCTAGAGATTCCGGTATTATAAATAGTTCTAAAATTCCGATCTCTAAAATCTAAAATTCCAAGACAACTGAAAATCAAATTATTTCTTTTCCAGGAGGGCAACATGTCAGCCTGGCCGCCGGGCGAACCGTCGCCCGCCTTTCCCTCCCCACCCTATCCTGGTGGTAAGTTAATTTTTAGTTTGATTTTCTAAAATAAAAATATATTCGATAAAGTGGGAAAATCCTCAACAATCTCTGCTAGCCAGTCATCTTCAAGCATAAAATTTGGAGATTATAAACTAATGTTTTCTTATATTTTTTAGATGAAGCAAAAAATCGTGACGGCATCATTGTTCTCGAAAAAAAATGAAAATTATGAGTTTTTCAGGCCCGAACCTCTCAAAAGTACAGTACCCCCGCGACGTGAGCGGCCCGCGATACCAGTGCCCCGAGTGCCACCACCAGTTTTTGGTAGGTTGTAAATCAAATGTTGCAAAAATGCTTCAAAAATAAAAATTCGCAGAATCTAATTTTTGATTTATGCGTTTAAAGCATAGAATTCTTTGAAAATATATAATTACAGAAATATATGCTTTAATTTTGATAAAAAGATCTAATCTTATCGGCCTGCTTTGCAATTTCCGGGTCACTAAAATTCTATGTTTCACCCAGAATACGGCAGAAAAACCCGCCATCACCTGTAATATTTAGATGTCATGGCATCGGCTAAATTTTTTGTTAGTTTTTTAATCTCATACATTCGATAGAATAAAAACGATACAATTTTAAAATAACATAATTTATAATAAAAATAAATACAAAATAACACTTATAATAATAAATACGTAAAGAAAAACTATATATTTTTTTAGATAAGATTAAAAATGATTTTCCAGTTCCACCGCCTGATGGGCATCGTGGTGTGCCCGTTTTGCCAGCAGACAGTCACCGTCGGAAAATTTGTAGGTTTTCGCTTTTTTTATTTTTGTTCTGTACCTACAATTACAAAATATCTTTTTAGAGCGAAGAACTATGTTAAACTTGTTAAACTCTAAAAAAATTCAATATTTAACGGACTACTGCATGGAAGTGCTATTATTTTCCTTAGAGCAAAAATTTCTCTAAGCAAATGCAAATACTCATTTCATTGGTTGCGATTTTGTTTATGTAAAACGTTTAATTTATGTTTCGAAGTTTTTTGCTGACCTAGAAATTTTTAAACCTTTATATGAGAATTATCTATTACATAAGAAGATTTTTCTTGGTATTGAAGCAAACCTGAAACATTTTTTTCCTGGGGATTTCGGAGGATCAAAACTGTGGTTTCTTTTCACGTGCGAATTGTTAAATTGGTTTTATTACTATCGATACATTATTACCTCATTAAAAAACTTCTGGTAAAAAACCTGAGGGACGGCCAAATTAAGGGAAATGGGCCAAATACAATAGGTTTTGAAACATTTTTTTAAAGAACCTTTATTTATTTTCAGGGGTTTTTGCTGTACCTAGAAACTTTAAATCGAATCCCAGTTGGCACATAGTAAATGGCAAGAACTTTTTCCATTATTTACTTCTAGTTGAAGCATTGATTTCTAAAAATTGCTGGGAAAAGTCCTAAATTTTTCATGAACATTTTAAAATCCCTTTGATCACTCTAGGATGATAAATTTTGTTGTAAAATCCAGCTGACTTTATGCGAAACTAGCTAAAAAGTTTTTAAACAATTCTTTTTCAGAATAAAAAGCGCTCAACGATGTACCTAATCGTCGGGCTGCTCCTCCTCGTGGCCAGTGCAATCGTGATGACGGCGTATTTTATTTGGTTCCCCAAGGAGCCGTATATTCTCATTTCGGGTGGGTATTACTAATTTAATGCGAGGACCGTGAGCACTATCAAGTGGCGAAATTTTCCGGTATTTAAGGGTTTTTGAAACATTTTTCTAAACAAAAACCAATTGATTTTTTGAGATTTTTATTTTTTCGATTCTTCTTACTTCTGGTTTAATCTTAGAGCTTAAATTCATAGTATAGTACCAATAAAATTTTTAAATATTTGCGACTTGTAGTTTAAATTCTTCTTTTTTTCTAATAAAAAGTTTAACCAATAACCGGCTCCTGTTTTTATTCTGATGATGATGCTAGATGAAAATGCTAGAATGGTCCGATTGTTCGGCCGTTAAAAGCCTGCTTTTTTGAAACAGTTCGTAACCTATTTGGAAGTAAATGAGCCTCAAAAATCGGAAGCATGACATTTTAGTGATTTTCTTGCAGACAAGTTTGTTCGATTCCAGTGATTTTCTGGAACACGGAATAGATTTTTTGTGAAACATAATTTTTAAACCATGGATTTGTAAAAAACTGTATAATTACTAAACGACATCATTAATTGTCTCTTCTAATGTAAATCCTTTAAAACAGCAAAATAAAATTTCCCTAATTAGCGTAATAATCCATCCCTCTTTCAGTGCTCCTCATCGCGGTCAGCGGGTTCGCCGGCTTGATAAAATCCGCCCATCTGCGGAATCAGTACCCGGATGCGCTGCGGGTCGAATGAGGAAAATTCTATTGTATTTCTGTCATTTTCTCGTATTTTGAAATGTATTGAAAAGTGACCGGTAAAGAAATCGCAGAATCTAGCTATTTTGAAAAAAATAAAAAATGTGTTTCGACAATTTTTTATGTAAAATTTTTTTTTAAAATCTAATAATTTCAGAATGATCGCTTTGTTCCGTTCCGCGTTAAATTCAAATTTCTGCCTTCTCGGTCCCTTTAATCGATGGATTCGGGAAGTTTGAATTGCTTAATATTTTTGAAGCAATTTTACCCTATGCATATTTTGTCGAAAACCTTCCGGATCACCCTAATTAACATAAGGTTTAAATATTATCTCTGGTTTTTCATGTATTTTGGACCAGTTCCAATTAGCATAACCGCTCATAACCTTACCCCCATTAATTCGCCATTCTTGTTCAGTTGCCACCTTAATAATCTATAGATGCAAATTGCCATCCCTATTTTCAACAGCAAGCCGGTAGCCGCAAAAATATTCAGTTTTTACTCGTCTGATACGTGCATCTTGTGTGTTTCATCACCTACTACTTATAAAACTACTTAGAAACGCACTTAATTTTGTTTATCTTCCAAGTCGCTGTATTTTACCCCAGCATATGAAGTTGCTCAAGAATTCCGCTCTCTCTCTCTCTCTTTCTCTCTCTCACTCTCTCTCTCTCTCTGTCCCTCTCTTCCTGACCCCATCGTTACAAAATGCAACCCAAGTGATTTACGAATAAATACTGAATGTTTTGCGTAATTAGTTGTCTGCAAGAAAATGCATGAATGTGATTAATTAAATCGTTCCTCTTCCTTTGCAGAAGTTTAAGCCCAATCCGAAGTCTAAGTCTAACCAAAGCCTAAGCCCAAGCCTAAGCCCAAGCCTAAGCTCAATCGGGCGCTGCGTGGAGAATCAATCCAGTTATTTATTCTGAAAAGCGGAACCAATACCTACAGCATTAAAATGGCAAAAACGGGATATTATGCTGCACAAAAAGGGTCATATAATTAATGGAATCCAAGCTACGTCAAAATTGAGGCATAAAAGAAACACACAAAAAAACACCGAAAACAGATTCAGAAAACAAACGATCACCAGTAAATATGGACATGGCATACATTAATTAATTTAATGAATAATCGGTAAACAATACAAAAAAAACGAAGATTTAAGAAATGTAATCATTTGCGCTCAAAATGGACGAGGTACCCCTTCGACGCCATCACCGAGCGGCTGTTCAGCCAGATTGTGTACCTGCAAGGGAAAGGTACCTGTAGAAGCTGGAACATATATTTTTGAAGGAAACACCACCGAAAATTTCGGTATTTGAATGTTCGAAAATTTTTATGTTTCAAATTTTCTATTTTGGCTAAAAATTTTCCGCTGCAATCGACGTGGTTCTTTATTGCAAATAAAAATGCTTTTGAATATTGATCCTAGTATGTCTAAGACTACTTTACCATACAATCACATCCCGTGTTCAAATAGAACTCTCCTCAAGCATTAGCTATCTTTAATATTTTGTTGTATCCAGATTTTCAGGGCCGCGCGAACGCAGCCCCCCACGCAAAAATTTAGCTGTAGGCGAACCCCAACTCGGAGCTGCCTTACAGGTCAACCCGGCCAAAAGTGCAATGGCCAAGCCTCGCCATAGAGATCCCGTCTTGTTGATCACGGGAATCTCCCAGCCAGGTAAGTTTATGAGGGGATGGAGGGGGTATGATATGTCGGGGGAATGGGCCAGACGGGAGGCGAGTGGACACGGGGAAATGGGCGCACCGGGAGCCCTCTCGAGGGACTGACGCCCAAGGGGCAGAGCAGCTTCATTGTAATTACATCCCATGCTCAAATATAACTCTCCCAAACTTGCATGTTATTGAAAATTTAATGTTTCACGTTATTTGAAGCATCGGAAAAGTTGTCTGCAGTTAATGGGCTTGTGATGCCCACGTAGCTTACAGTCGGTGTTCTTTGTTGATTTCTGGGCGTCACTGGGGTATATCTTTATTGCCAGAGAAGTATAGGATACAATTACTGCAATGCACTATATTTGCCGGAGTGGGGAACTATCCAGTAATGGAAATCTGTGATAAATTGTTATTCTTCTGAACCTTCACAGATCGCTCTATCGTCTCAGCCTAGTCTGGGCTGACACAGCGGGGTGAGCACGATCGGTGTGAGTTTGTTCAGAGTGATTTAGTGGGGGCCGGCAGGCTTTTTTATAGTCGCCCCTGCGGGCTCCGCCCAGCGCCTGTGGCCTTTTCGAAATAGCCCCCCGCTGCTCCTACGCTTTCCATTTCTGAATGGTCGGAACAGTTCCGACAGGGCTGTATCTGTTCCTTTACTCAAATAAAATTTTTACTCGTTCGCGCAGCTACATCAAAAATAGAACCCGGCTTGCAAAATTTTTGAAATTTTTGTGTGTTTCACTTAAAGCGCACGTTCAGGCACGTTGAACGTATACTTCCTATTGACACCTGCGTCTCCCTCTTTTCCCAGTCCCTCGGCGTCAATAGGAAGTATACGTTCACCATAAATATACGTCCCTGAACGTGCGCTTTAATGCTCAAAACCTGGTAAATCTGGCTCCCTTAGTCAAACTTGGGCCCACAGCACATTAATGATAATTATTTGTTATTCAAAATGAACCACGCTGAATTTTCTAAAGATAATTTTGTTTATTAATTTTGTATATTAATTTCTAGCGCACCCAGCATAATCAATGGCAAAATTTTAGAAAATTTTTGTGTTTCATTTAATACACATGGCTCGAGCTAATCGTTCCCTCTATTAAAGGACCATTTTTCTCAAAAATTGAATACTACTATTTTCCAAGTCAGTTTTCTATATGAATTTTGTATATTAATTTTGTATATTAATTTCTATCGTACCTAGCTACCCAGGCGGGCCCAAATGGCAGCAGCGCGTCGCCCAGCAGCTTCTGACCCTCAGCCTGGAATTCGATTTATTGGGAATCAATATTAGTTTTGAGGTTATAAAATTGGGTGTATAATAATAAATTTTGATACTATTTTAATAACGCAACTTTGAGTTTTTTACTCACCATAAACTCGTCGCCCAGCTCAAACGATCGCGAGTCAGGATGCGTCAGGATCTGAATGTCGTGCGCCTTCGCGTATTCCACAAGTTCTTGCGGGACCTGGAAAAGGTACTGTAAGTAATTTTTTAGTATTATTTGAATTTACACATATCATTGTCGAAAAAATAGAAAGCGGGCGAAGCTTTAAAAAACCAAAGTTTCAAAAAAATTTCACTTTCCAAGTTTTTACAGATCCCGATTCGGAACAAGTAAATTCTTTTAGCTCATTTTATTATTAAAGATCGCTAGTTTACATTACAATAATAAGATTTAAAACCCTATAAGTACCGTAGTCAGAGCATTACTTGATTTTATCGTTTAGAAGCCTTAAAAAAAACGTTTCAATAAAAATCCCAAATAAATCGAAATTTCATTTCGCAATCAACGCAATAGCGCTATGTTTTACATTTTTTTTCCAATTCATCGATAATTATCCGTTATTATTGGCAATAAGCTTTCTTATTAAAGAAGATTACAGAAACATATAATTACAAAATTTTGCGACTAAAAAAATTGTGATTCAAAGAAATTACGAAGTAGTTACAATAATTTTCAATCAGTGAATCACCAAAAATCAAGGAAATAACTTTTTAAAGTAATTATTGAATCAAAATATCTAAAACACAATTCTCCCACCGTACAACACCCATCAATGCTGTAGTGCTCGATTTTCGGGGGCTCGTTGGCCGCCTCGCACAGCATACGCAGCCGATCCAGATCAATGTCCGACACGCCGAGGTACAGGATCTGGAAGAAACACCTATTTTTTTGCTTCACGAAACCTTTAAGACCAGGGGTACCTTTAATCATTTTAATTGCCGTCGTTTTAATTTCAATAAAAGTCGCTGCCACTCAAAATTTGACTGAAACACATTTCTTCGAAAATTACGTTTATCAATTTCAACAGTACGCTATTAAATTTGTTCTGTCCACAAGTAGATCTATTATCCACCCAAAATATTGCAAAATGACAAAGTTCCCGAAAACACATTTTTACCAAAATGGATTTTATATGACATTAAACTTGTCATCGCTTCCATGACTTCTTGATTTCAATCAAAGTCGGGCTCAATAGCTACTCTCCTGCTCCCCTGTAAAATCCGACCTTGCCGGCGTCGACGAGCTTCTCCAGCGGCTGCCACACGCCGAGGACCGCGGCCAGCCACGTCGGGTCGTCCTGAAAAATCTCAAATAATCTCTGCTAGCCTGTCCTCTCCTCTTCCTCAACAATCTCTGCTAGCCTGCCCTCTCCTCTTCCTCAACAATCTCTGCTAGCCTGCCCTCTCCTCTTCCTCAACAATCTCTGCTAGCCTGCCCTCTCCTCTTCCTCAACAATCTCTGCTAGCTTGCCCTATCCTCTTCCTCAACAATCTCTGCTAGGCTGCCCTCTCCTCTTCCTCAACAATCTCTGCTAGCTTGCCCTCTCCTCTTCCTCAACAATCTCTGCAAGCTGACCATTTCGTCCTGTGCCTCGGGGAATTGGAGGATGACTTGAAACAGCGAAGACAACTCTAAATGCTCCAATGCCATCCGGACGGCCGTCGCCGCGTATTCCGGCGAAAATGTGGGCAGGAAAAGCTGAAAATTCGCGAGGTAACTTAGACAACTATTAAGCTAGGTGATACTTTATTTTTGTGGGGTTTCTATGAAACATTTATTTTCAGAAATTTTTAGGCTTTTGAAATTTTTTGGCCTCCTCAGGATAAACTACATGTTTTTTTCTACATTTCAGGTTGAAAAAATCCAAAAACGAATCAAAATAGCAAACCTTGAGCGTCGTCTTAATATCCGAAGACTTGCTGAACTCGCCGAGGTCGCCGCTCGACAGGGCGATCGGCTCGGAGCTGAAACAATCAGAATTTGAATCAGCCATATACCCCTAGCGCTAATTTTGCAATTTTTTGGCATAAAAGTTTTTGGCATTAAATGGCAAATCTCAAAAATCCAGGGTTTTTGAAATAAGTTGAAACATGTTTTTTTTGCACTTTTCGGAAAATGTTTGAAATTTCAACGCATCCAGAGTAAACTTCAGACACTAATAACGGTTAAAAGGCTATAGGCTAACCTAAAATCCAGCTGATTCTGATTCACGTCCCGGTCCTTGGCGAACTTGGCGAAGGCGGCCGTCAGCTCGGAGGAGGAGTTGACGTGCCGTTTCAGCATCAGCTAAATGTTATAATTTATTAATGCAGACAATTCTAAATCTTAATTAAAGTTCAAGCTCAATTATAATTGATTAAATTTAAAATTAAAACAAGTTCGGCACCTCGATGTGCTTCGACAGATTGCCGGTGTCGATCGTGAACGCGTTGCGGTCGGCCAATTTTTGAGCCGGCATTAGGAAGCGTCTGGAAACGAACACTTAAAAAACCAGAATCAGCAATAATAATGTTTAACACTAAAGTTTATAAGTTGAAAATTTTTGTGAAAGCGTCGAAAGCTGCGGTTGAATCTCGTAAATCAAAAACCCGGAGTTTCAAAAATGTTTGAAACATTCGGCTACGGTTTACTTTACCCCCCCCCCCCAGCCGGAAGTTTTTGGCTATAACTTTTTTATTTTACATTATTGTAGGCTCAAATTAAAACTCTTAGTATATTTTTCGACGCTCTATCGAATGGCGTTGCGAAAATCCTGATAAAATAAGCGGAAATACCGACAACTTTGAGACCCTTCGGCTGTGGGGGGGTAAAGTAAACTCTTACCAAACATTCTTATGGTTTGTGGAAATTCTTGGGGTTAAAGACCGCCAGAACGATCAAAATTTTGTTAAAAGCAAGAAGTTGCGCACCGGGCGGGGGTCGAACCCGCGATGGTCCGCTCCACAGTCCGACGCGCTAACCACTATACCACAGGTCCGAGTGGAGAAGGGAGTCAGAGGCGTCCCAAAACCGAGAGGGCCTTTGCCCACTACGGGGCGCGACTAATGACGCCTCTCTCTGCGCGTTCTTGGGGGCAGCACCCTCGGGGTGACAGTGCGCGTTCCATCGTTCTGGTAGTCTTTAACTAGCAGAGATTGTTGAGGAAGGGAGAGGGCAGGCTAGCAGAGATCCCTCGATAAATCGCAAGATATGATCGCGATGACCGCGAAATGGGGCAGCCATTTTTGCAAAAATCTATATGAAGAGGAGCGGGAGAAGCAATAGAGGAGAGATGAGAGAGAGAGAGAGAGAGAGAGAGAGAGAGAGAGAAACACAAGAAGCAGCATAGGAAAAGACGACCGGGCGAACCCCGCGCACGATGCGTAAACAGCCCACCTCCCCTGTGGGCTGGGTTTTTCTGGAAATAATTACATGGTTTAGAGCATTCTCTTGGAGCACAATTAAGAATTTCAAACGATGGAAAATATCTAAAATAAAGCCAAAATTCTGTCTCTATTGCTATGAGTGAAACATTCTATTTCAGAAGCAAAAGTGATGCGAAATTCTATAGACCTTTTTGACACTTCATTACTAAATTTATGTACCTTAAGTAAAGGTTCAGGATGATTTCCAAAAAAATCCAGAATTTCGAAAAATAAATGTTTCGGAAATTAGACCTCACAAAAAAGTTAAGCCATCGGCAATTTATTCTTTCAAGTCCAAGGATTTCTGAATTTCGCAAAATTTTCTTAATTTATTTATTAATTAACTATTTATAAAAAATCTTCTATATACATTTTAGGTTTCAAAAATTAAGCCTAAATCTAATAGGAATATTGAATAGCCTACAAAGAAGAATTTCGTGAAAAAAAACAAGAAGATTTCGAGATTTTTTACTGTAAAAATCGAAACGTAAAAGCAGAAATACTGTAACTTTACTGATTTACTGTATTTTAAAGCAATATTTAAATAATTGGATTACCCAGTATTTTTCCTAATTTTAACCTTTCTATAACTATTTTTGAAACATCTTTTCAAAGCTTTAAATCAAGAAATTGGAAAAGCAGAGCTGAGATGAGATGATGATAAATTCTCTGCGAAAACGTGGGGAAATTCAGGGCTTTTCCCCCGGCAACCCGTGCTTTTCGTGTCCCCCGTTTTGTGCGGGTTGTAGTTTCCGTGCTTTTCGCCGCCTTTCCCCGCAAAAGATGACGAATTCCTGCTGGGAATCACACAGAACATTGACAGAAAAACACATTAAATAAATAATTGTCAACGGCAGTTTTCACACTCCAAGACTTTTTTCTCATTTCATGCCCAAAATTTCAAATTTTATCGAATTTGATTTTATTTCATCCAAAAATATGGCTAGCTCAAGAGAAAGGAATAACTAGTAACATAAAATTTTGCAGACTAGGCAATTCGATAACACATTCTTTTTCTACTTGATTTTGGGCTTTTTGGCACTATCGGACTTCGAAGCTAATTTTATTTCATATAAATTCAGACGTGCCAAAACCTAATCGTAATATTTTAATAGTGTTTTAGTATATTTTAACTGTATTTTAAGTGGTAAAACCATCTTAAAGCGGCTATTTTTAGTTGCAAAATCGGGGTTGGAAAACTTTTACGCTTAGGAATAGGAGGAATAGTAAAGACGGTTTTATGGACTTCCTCTTTTGATATTCGAAAAATTGGTTCTTTAGAATAAAGTTTGTGTATCCCTTGAAAACTACGGGTAATTTCCGTCAATTTCGTCTATGAATTAAGGCGCTCGAAAAAGAATTGACTTGGAAATTCGATGAAACATTTTGTCGAAAACTTTATAGTCCTCGCCAAATTCCCTAGCGATCTCTGCTAGCCTCCCCTACAAATGGCAGCTATTTTTGCAAGTTCAGGATCGGAATCCAGATGCAAATATAGATTTCTCGCAGCTTAAAGTTACTCAACAATTTCAAAAAATCACCTGACCAGCTGGCGCAGCATCACGGCATCAAAATGTTGAATAATTTCAGGTACGATAAAAATATGCCAATCCAAATTCTACAACTTTATTGAAAACTGTAAGTTGTCTATACTGTACAGTCAATTTATCCAAAAGGCAGAAACTTAGAGAACACAAATATACAAAGTACCAAAAAGTACCGGCAACGCTCACGGGGAAACGGCGAAATTGCAAAAAATGGAAAACTAAGAAAATAATAAAAACCAGGGTTGAAAAGCCGCTTCGCGTCTTTTCAACCCTGGCCCCGTCTAACTCCATTTTATCATTCACTTTGCATAATTGTCCTGAATTCAGATGACAAAAATGAAAAACAACTTCTTCTGTGCCTTTATATAGCCGAATCACCACTTCCGGTCTATGCTAATTATTTCCTAACAAAGGAGCTTTTACAAAAACTTAAATTTAATGTCGAAAATGGCTGATTTTGTAAAATTTGATATGTGTGCAGTCATCTCAAGACCATTGCGCACCTAATGACGTATCAAATATACCCGTAACTTCATCCCCTATCGAGATATCCTCCGGACAGACAGACGGAAGTGGATGCAAAGTGGCACACACACACAGACACACACACACACAGACACTATTTTTTTATATATAGTAGGATATGGCAAATGGATAGAGAAATATCCGGGTATCCTACCGTCGACAACTGATTATCGGGTACCCGGGTAATCGAGATCGAAGAAAGTGTGGAACACGTAATTCCGCAAAACGTAAAAAGGCAAATTTAGAAAAATGCGACTACGATACTTAATTCACTGTAATTAATAGCGTAATCGGTTAAACGACCGGAAAGTCAATCGGCTAACGGCTCCTCGCTGGCCCAGCGGACGACGTCGGCCGGGAAGTCTAGGTGCTGAATTTCTTGGAGCAGCGTCTCCGTTGAGCAGGCCAGCACGAATTGTCTGAAAATTTGATTTTCAAAAATTCTGATTTTTCTCACTTGTTATGAAGCATCACCGCCTTCCGGTCGCACACGATGATCAGGCGCATCTCGTTGAGTCGATCGAGCTCCTGAAAAAATGTCATTCATTTTATTAAAAAAGCTCCTTTCTGTTGTTTTTATTCAAAAAAATATTCAAAAAAGCGCTTATAAATAGCACTTCCAACTGCGCAAAATACCGACAAATCGAAATTCGGGAAGCGGAAATACCGCCACTAAAAATGCCGGCAGACAAAGGGCGATACCCGGAATGCCAAAATTACGATAGCTATACAAAATTAAAAATACCGACAGCCAAACGGCATGCAAAGCTCGGATGGCCAAAATGCCGACTACTCGAAATTCGAACAAAGAAAATGCGGACATTCAAAATCCCAGGTGCCAGATTGTCGAGGAGCCCATATGCAAAATACCGACAGCGAAAATACGACCGGAGTATGCACGGAATTGTGTCCAGCCTCCATTTTGTTCTTTCGGCATATGCCTTTTTGGCTTGTCGGCATTTGAACTAACGTCATTTTGGCCATCGTTACCCTCATCAGCTTTTGGCATTTTCGCTTGTCGGTATTTTCCAGAAATCAGGCCAAGTTCAAACCTTGTACAGCAAAAACCCGTCCGACGTGTCGCGGAATGTGTTGTTGACCGTGTTGGCCATCAGGAGGTAATCTAGAAAAAGAAAATTAATATTTGGTTAATTAGCGATTTTTTAAGTAAAATAAAGGAAATTAAACGTACCTTTGACAATGCGCTGATAGGTGATGGGCGCCTCGTAGCCCTTGGCGTTTGCCCGCCGGACAGCACACAGCAGTAGTGCGGTAGCCTGGCGCGGGAGACCTGAAAATTGGTGTTCAAAATAATTTTAATTTTCAAAAAATGGGTAAGGAAATAAGTATTTTTTTATGACTGCATCAAGGAAATAACACGCAACTCCTACTGCGCACTACTACAAAATTCACAGGAATCGCCTCTTTCGCTAGCGAAACATTCTATTACAAACCAAAAAAAAAAACCAAATTTCTGGTGTTTAATCGGTGCTTTGGTGTTATCGGGGGGAGGGGGAGCAGAATTTTTGCAGAGATCCAGAAATGTCTAGTAGCATAATCCTACTATATATAAAAAAATAGTGTTTGTGTGTGTGTGTGATACTTTGCATGCAACTTCCGTCACCATGTCCGGAGGATATCTCGATAGGGAATAAATTTTAAGGTATATATGATACGTCATTAGATGCGTAATGGCTCTGGGATGACTGCACGCTTATCAGATTTTACAAAATTAATTGTTTTAAACATTAAATTTCAGTTTTTGTAAAAATTTCGGACACCCTCTTTGTTAAGAAACAATTAGCATGCACCGGAAGTGGCGGTAGCCTATATAATCAGGCAGAGAGTGTCATTTTTCATTTTTTTTCTCATCGGGATTCGAGAGAATTATGCAGAAAGAAGAATATTATGGGGATGACAGCGCCAGGGTTGAAAAGTCGCGAAGCGGCTTTTCAACTCTGGTAATAAATATTTTAACACGGTTTTTTAGAAAAATGTAACTATAGTGAAAATATTATCTAGAAAAATTTGCAAAGTTTTCAAAATTAGAAGCCTGGTCGAAAATTTATGTTTTGGAATTTTTTAATTAAGCTTTGTAAATTTTTCACGTTCCGGATAAGCTCTTTAAATAATTGGCTAAAAAAGCTGCCCCCGATAATGCAAGAACCGTCTAAAAATTTCCAAAAAAATTGGCGAAACGAGGAATTTTCATTCTAAATTCTTTTCAAATGCACCAACCCTTCCCAATTGTTTTAAAAAATTTGTTAAGAACTTAATCTACCTTCCAACTGTTGCAGCAGCTCGTCATCCCACCCATTCGTCAGCTTCAGCCAGTAGCAAGCCGCCGCGATGAGGGCCTTTTGCGTTGGGTCCTCGTTTTCGAGTAATTCCGCTCGGAGTAATGCTAGCGCGCGTTTGAGGCGATAGAAGGATGTGCAGTTCTGAAAGCCGAAAAGTCGGTTAAAGAAGTCAGGAGCGTAAATAATTAAGAAAATCGCATTTAGAGAATTTAAAAGCCGCTTTTTAGTGTTACAACTTGCCAAAAATAGGGTTTCCAGACTGTTTCTTTCAAATTTTATGGCAAAAATCCCTGTAAGTAGTGAAATTCGCAAAAAAAACGAAGGGTGTAAAAGCTAAATAATCTAAAAAAAACCTATATACCAGCTTTTAAAACTTTTTAGGCACTAAAAGATAGCTAAATCTTTCTTTTTCAAATCAAAAAGGCCTGATTGCACCGAAAGTTTCAGGGAATCAGGAGGTTAGAAGCAGTATTTAGAGCTTGCTACAGGTTTTTTTCGTTAAAAACTACTTAAATTACGATTTTCAGGGCCAAATCTTCAATAAAAACTTGAAAAATATACAAAAATTCACCTTTACATGACAATCCTCAAGTAGCGCCACAATTTTCGGGTCGCTCTTCAGCGCTTTTAGCTTCCCCAACACTGGATCGGCCGCCAGAAGCTGGAAAGACAAAGTAAAAACACTCGAAAAAGTTCCTACCTTCTCGTAGTTCTTCAAAAACTCCTGCAACGCTTGTTGCCTCCCCGGGAAGTTGACCTTCTTCGACGAAAGGCGCGACCGGATGCGCTTCTCGACGCTCATGATGAAATCCTGGTGGCAGACGACGAGCACGATGAAAAAGTTGCGCCCCGAGCGGCTGAGGTCGAGCAGCGCGTACAGGAGGCTTTCATTCGATTTCACGAGCGCGTCAGCGCCTAGAAACGGGAAATGAAAAGCTAAAAGCATTTCCAAACCTCTAACCACCAAGATGACCTTATTTTTGGCGGCCTTCTTCGCGTCGTCGATGCGACCCAGGAACTCTGTGTTGTTGCGCATGTCCGCCTCGTGGCCATCGATGAACTGGAGCTTCAGCTTGGAGCACGATTGGCTGGCTTCTTCCCAGGCCTAAAAAAAATTGGTTGCTGACAAGGTTTTAGTAAATTTAGAGTTTTGCTATGAGAAATAGCGTATTCGATAGCGCTTGAAATTCTGAACAAGCTGCAACTCTATAAAAAACCGCTGGGCTATAACGATTTTTGGAAATAAATAGCTTTAAATTAGCGCATTTGCTCAGTTTAAACTTTGAACAACGTTTTTCTGCAAAAACCGTTATCGTTCAGCAATTTTTTAAGATCCTACTAGTTCAGAATTTTAAGCTCTATCGAATAAACTATGCCACATCGCTAAAACTCGAGCATCATCAGTTTTTTAAAGCCAAAAGTGTCTAAAAACCTGTGTAATCGCCGAACGACGTCCACTCTTCGGCGGCCCGCACACGATCATCGAATCGCCGCTCTCGCCCGCGTGGAAATCGGTGAAGTAGGCGGTGATTTGCCTGAAAAATACATAAAAACTAAATAAAAATACGCGTAGACGTCAAAATACGTAAAATCTCACAAAAACTTACCTTATTTGCTCGTCCACGCCAACGAGAAGGTTCTTCATTGTTGTAGGGGTAGATTTGCACTTATTTCGGCTTTTTCTTTCTTGTTTTTGGGAGCTGAAGGTCTGAAAAGACGGGGAAAGTGAGAATAGAGGTCGGCGATTCGAACGCGCGCGTTTGCCGCCCAAATTCACGCTAGGAAAAGGAGAGATAGAAAACCGGAAATAGATGAATAAAGAAAGCAAAATAAAGCAAAACGAATTCAATAAAAAAATCAGATAGATATTTCTTTGATAAAGCCCCTCTGTAAAGGAAAACCTGATCTTAATTATAATTATCAATTTTAGAAAGAGTATTTTTTGAAACATTGAATTTTTTTTTGAAAAAACACACACACACATCTAACCGGCAATTTTTATAATTTTGAAGCGAAGCATGCTTGTTGGTGAGAAACGAAGCTATTGTTTGTCTTGATTTTTGCACCTTGCTAGCATTTTTTGAAACATTTATTGGCAGAATCCATATAAATGAAATTTTTATGATTTTGCTGAAAACCACGCGTTTTATGCGAAATCGAACCGTGTTCGTATTGGTTTTTCGTTAATTTTTATTAGGTCCCACTTTTTTGAAACATTTATTCGCACCCGTCTTGGCAGAACCCATACAACACCGGAATAATGATTTTTGGGCGTAATACGGCTTAATAAGAAGTATAGTCAGAAAAATAGGCGTAAAAATAGCGATTTTGCATCGATAAAACACAGAAAAGAAGGTAGAAAGCCTCAAATAAAAGTGCTATTGCTGCTCTGCCACTCTAGAAACTTCTTGGACGACATTTTTCGAAGGTTTAGCTTAAAGTCGGAACATGTTTTCTTGATGATCGAGAAGAATTCGGGGTTGAGGAGGCCGTAGAGCAGCGGGTTGATCACCGTTGACGTCATCGCAAGGCTAAAATTAAGGTATTAAATACATTAAGTGATAGTCTAAGTTTATAAGATACAAGATACGTTTTTCTCCCGAGAAAAAGACTGTTTCAATCACCTACGTCCTTACTAAAATTTGGAGACCGTCAATGTTTGTGTGCTTTATACCAGAAATTTGCTTAAAATTTCTAAAGTTTTCCGTTTATAGTTTAGACACGCTTCTCTTTTTTCTATATGAAAAATTGGACCATAAATTTTGTTTTCCTCCCCGATAGTGCAAAAACTATTTAAAGTAAAAATAAACTGTTTCAGTCCCACACGGGATTAATAAAGTTTTGTAACGTTCAGTCTTGTCGTAATAAAAAATCGCATAAAATAAAATTGAAAAATGCTTTTTCCTTTTTTTCTATTTTTTTTGTTCCATATAAACGCTTCCAGTTTAAATATTATGAAAGTTTCTAATTTTTTTAGATGATTGCTGCTTCATATACATAAGTTGTAATCTACAATTTAGGCTTTTTCTAAAACCTTCAACTCACCAATGCGTCGCCAGGCTGATCACGTAGTTCCAGTTTCGGCCGTATCGATCGAGCACGACGCCGCCCTAGAAAAGTAACTTATTTTATTTCACATTAAGGTTTTAAATATTTTATATTTTGATCGATTTTCGATATTTTTATAAAAATTAAGGGCTAAAGTCAGTGTCGTGGAACCCAGGAAAATCGCATTTTTTTGCTACAAAAATGATGTTTCCTATCTTTGGGTATAGGAAAAGTGAGAATTTTTGTTAATTCCTGATCCATGGGTTATTTAAACTCTAAATTAAATAACCCAAGGATCAGGAATTAACAAAATGACCATCTTTAAATTTTTCCTGCGTTTGATTCGAAAATTTTATTGACCTGATTAGGAAAGTTTGAAAGATCCGATTCCTTAGAAAAATTTGTTGCAGGCTCTGACCTTCAACCGAAAATTTCATATGTAGTAATATTTTAAACACTGGTGACCAGTTTTTAATTATTTCTCTTCAATCTAAACAACTATTTATTTCAATATAAATTTCTATTAAACTAAAATAACCTTAAATTCTTAAAATCATTGTTGTTGCTAACTCAATATCTTAATATAAAGGGTGTAATTAATATTAATTATATTAAACCAGATTAATTACAATATTAATGATGAATAATAGACATATATAATAGCAATTATGATGTTATGATATTATTGTCCACCTGCGTGTCGATGATCATGGCCACGATATGTTGGGGCAGCCAGCAGAAGCCGAACACAAACACCATCGACACGAGCAGGATCGTGTTTTTGCGCGCCCTCGCGATCAGGAACGACTTTTTGGAGATCTAAAAACGTATTGATAAAATAAATATAATAACGTAAATATAATTTTTAACTTTCGACTTCGATTTTCGAAATATGTGTTTTTATGTGTATATGTTTTTTGTCGCTTCGGATTGCACTTTTATCTCCCTGATCTTGCTGTCCAAGCAAATTTACGGATTTGAAAATTAGCTTCAGGATTAGCCGCTAGCATTTTTAGCAGTGTGGAAAAATTTGGTGCGAGGTTTCCTATATGGAGCACCCGTTAACACTGCTTAAAATCATAATTTATAAAAATTTAATTTGTTTCGTAAAATAAGTTTCACGCAGACGCTTGTCAAAAAACGTACATGTACCATAATACGCGGTTTTCTCGATAAACGATAAATGAGAATGTTAAAAAAAAAACAAAATTACTCAGTGTGTTTGCATGCATGTGCGTGTTAATTCAGACCGTCTTTTTTAAGTCCGATCAGTAAAATCAATCTAGCAGACTAAACACTACCTGTGCAAGAATGTCTTTTCCGTGAATCGAGTGCCCGACGGCGCTCATGATCCCCGCTGAAGCGAAGAGCACCAGCGAGCGCTCGTTGTATTTTCTGGAATTTTTCAAGGTCTTTTAAAATATATGAAAATATAGGATCCGTGATTCCATATTTAACAGTTATGAATAAAATGATGAAAACCATATATTTAAGCGCGCCAGAAAACAAGAAAAATGGCTTACAGGGCCTCGTGTTCGTAAAATCCGAATAATTTGTTATTGGAGCTTCCCTCTTGCTCATTCTTTCGAAACACTCAATCAACTTTTTTTTCTAAGGTTTTAGAAGGCAAATAATAAAATAGTATGTTTCAGTACTGATTAAAAAACCTGAAACTTTATATCATGATTCAGTGCAATTGTTTCCGCAAAATTCTTTCGAACTGTTCATTCAAGGGTCGCATCACGCTGTAAGTTTCTACAACGAGTAAAATTTAATGCATTTAAGTAAGTCTATTTCCAAAGTACGTCTTCTGCCTTAAAGCTGAAGCAAAGCAAATGTTTCAAAATTTATTAAAAAATAACAAAAATGAATTTTGCAAGGCAATTTGGCAGAAAAATCGGATGTTTCAGGGCTTTTTAAAAAGCGGCTGCGTGGCAGCGTGATAATACGGTGAATTTTTGCACATATTTTTACGCTCCACCTACCGTATCTTTTCCTGCGTTCGCATCCGCAGCTGCACAAAGATACGGTAGTAGCAGAAGAAGATCACCGAGAACGGGACGATGTACTGGGTGAACAGGACGAAAACCTGAAAAATGCAAATTATAAGGATTCAATTAACTACTTAATCAATTGTATAAATAGAGATAAAATTGATTAACCATAATTGTTAAACCAACGCTAAATCCATAAAAATCAATAAATATAGAATTACAGTATAGATCTTCTGGAGCTCCGGATTCGGCCAGGCCTCCGTGCAAAAATAGCCACAGTAGTCTTCGGCCTAAAAAAAATTTAATTTAATTCTGCCATTTAAAAATTAATATTTATATATGATTTTAATAAAAGTGATTTAGGAAAAAATTGCAGGTAATTTTTGCATTAGATAAATGACTTTTAAACTGTTACGCCGGTTAAATTCTACATATTACTACCCGAATGGCCCATTTATTGAGGAAATTTTTGAGACATTAAAATTGGCACAACGAAATTTTGATTTTGCGATTTTGGCTCATCAAACGATATTCTCAAAATTGATAACAAAATTTGAATTTTTTTACTATGACTAAGCTTATCTATGATAGCATTATTACCATTCAATTTTTTTGATGTTTCAAAAAAAATATTTTCAGAGCGATAATTCTTGTTCGATTAATGCCACGAAAATCGAAACTCGTGTAACTCCTCCAAATTTTGAAACGCTAGAATATTAAAAAAATCAGCTACCACTTTTTAATCACTTAAAAGTGTTTCAGATCAATGTTTTACCTAGGATTTTTTTATCGATTTTAATTCCATTCTTCGGTTGGCTTACGCGGTTCTGTTTTCGCGCAATTTTTTCATAGTAAAAGTTTTAAAAATCAACTTTAATAATTTTAATGTGAAAACAAGCCAGAACTTTGCCGACCTTGTCAACCTGCATATACGTGGCGTACGGTAGGGTGAAAATGGCCGACAGGATCCAGATGACGAACATCACCGGTTTCGCGAACTAAAGGATTTTTTAGGAAAATAATGTTTCAGAAAAATGAGAACATGACGCGCGCCTAAAATAACATTAAAGATGAGACGTGCTGAGCAAAGCAAAAATGGTTTTTGAGAGTGGAATAAACGATTTTTTTTTCTGAAAATTCAATGTTTCAAAATATTCTAGCGCTCCGCGAAAGCTTGGGAGCTTATTGCGTTCAGCGTGACCTTCTTAAGCATAAGCCAAGCCTAAGCATAATCCTAAGCATAAGCCAAGCCTAGGCCTAAGCCTAAGCCTAGGCCTCAGCCTAAGCCTAAGCCTAAGCCTAAGCCTAAGCCAGGCTAAGCCTAAGCCTAGGCATAGGCCTAAGCCTAAGCCTAAGCCTAGGCAAAGCCTAAGCCTAAGCCTAGGCCTAAGCCTAAGCCTAAGCCTCCAAGCCCAAGCCCAAGCCTGACTAAGCCCAAGCCAGGGCACGGTAAGCCCAAGGGCAACCAAGCCGCGCCTGGGCCCAACCTTAAACAAAAGCCAAGCCTAAGCCTAAGCCTAGGCAACGCGTACTTTGTTTGTGTTCTGCAATAAACAACGGATGCTACGATTTTGCTTACATTTTTCCTGACGGGCGTGTGCGGCTTTAATATCATGTAGTATCGATCGATGGCAATTGCCGTCAGGCTGAACGTCGCGATGAAGATGGTCACGCCCTGAAAAACTGGAATTTTTGGGAACTTTAACTGAGGCTAAGTCTAAGCATAAGCCTAAGCCTAAGCCTAAGCCTAAGCCTAAGCCTAAGCCCAAGTCGGTTAATAAAACTCCCATGCCAGGGAATTTCGTGAAATACCAGGGTTGAAAAGCCGCTTCGCGTCTTTTTCAACCCTGGCCCCTGTTAGTGTCATAATATGCTTCATCTTTAATTCCTCGAATTCCTAAGACGAAAAAAAAATCTCCCCATAACACGCCCATTACATAGGCTCGCGCCATTTCCGGCATATGCTAATTAATTCCTAACAAAGTGTGTGCTCCATTTTCTAACAAAAACTTAATTTTAACGTCGAAAATAGCATAAGGGGTGTTTCCCCCCCCCCCCCCCCACCCCCAATAACAACCCAAACTCCCTTTAAAACCCTTTCCTTCCCCCCAAAAATTCTCTCGAACCTTTTTGGAAGTCGCATGTTCTGTTTAAAACCCTTTCCACACCTCCCCCACACACAGACGAATTATACACAACACTTACATTAATTCAATTGTTTAGTATAGCTCGGTTTATTCACGTCTAACGTCTAAGCGCCGTATTGTTGCCCTTCCACCCCCGTTTCTCCTAATTTTTCGTGAAACATTTCCACGGAAATTTTTGCGTTTTTTTCTTATCTTTTCGAACGATTCTATAAAATTCTACAAGTTGAATACCTGAATCCACGGCAGACCATGGCACATCTCGGCGCCAAATAGCCAATTTTTAAGGATGTTCGTGATGGGTGTTAAGGGCAGAGAAAAGACGCAGATGGCCAGATCAGCTACCGAGAGGTTGAGGATGAAGAGATTCTGGAAAATTCTGTTTTATTAACGCAATAAAATCATTTTAAGAATTCCTGAATAATTTAATAATTGGCCCTGAAATCGGCTGCTCAAAATTCCATGAATTTGATCAGCATTATGGAGCAATTATTAGTGAAAACTTTACTACGCTTTAGTTAATGGAATTTGAAACATTTGAAATTTTCAAAGCTCAAAACGGCGCAAGCCAAGCACCTGTACGGATTGCAACCGTTGATTCCGCAGCGTGCAGTAGATGACCGACACGTTGCCGGCCAGGCCGAGCACGAACATTGTGGAGTACAAGATGGCAAAGGTGAGCACCACCCAGAAGTCGAGCGATGGGTCGTGCTCCTGGAAGATGAGAGTCTTTATATCCCCAAAATTTTCTGCTAGCCTGCCCTCTCCTCTTCCTCAACAATCTCTGCTAGCCTGCCCTCTCCTCTTCCTCAACAATCTCTGCTAGCCTGCCCTCTCCTCTTCCTCAACAATCTCTGCTAGCCTGCCCTCTCCTCTTCCTCAACAATCTCTGCTAGCCTGCCATCTCCTCTTCCTCAACAATCTCTGATAGCCTGCCCTCTCCTCTTCCTCAACAATCTCTGCTAGCCTGCCCTCTCCTCTTCCTCAAGTCCCAAATTCCGTACCACTTCTATGAACGGGCGACAGTTCGTAGTATTTAGGATGTAGTGAAGCATCGATGGTTTCCGCATCCCTATAAGCTCGATTAGAGAAGCGAAAAAATTCGGGTTTAGATAAAATTATAAAACATATTTTTCGCAAACAATCGGTTTGATAGATTACATATTTTGTTTCTACTGACCAAAATAGCAAAGAAAGTTATATAAATTTTATATTGATATTTTTCAAACACGATTGTTTAGGCAGAATTTTTGGGCGCCATTTCTGCACGTTATCCACACGTATCAGCAGCTGCGGGAAGCTCTACGGTATCGGGGAGCATCCTATAATCCGTTTGGTCCCAATGAGGGACCCAACCCCGAAAAATGAACACTCAATGGCCGAGGAAAAAAAATAGAAAATGATTTGGGCGCGCTTCCCCCACCCCAAATCCCAATATTGATGCGTAAACAAAAAAATGCACCCAGGGGATTTGATGGAGTAAAACTATAAAATAATAGATAAAATATAAGTAATATTAATTTTAACGAAAATTTAAGTAAAATGGATTAGAATTGGAATCAAGAAAACTTTGAAATTGATTAGGTGGCTAATGCGAAGCGCGCCAAAACACGCAACTTATGTTTCAAAAAAACCTTAAAAATCGAGCTGGCTTGCGTACCATAATATGCTTCGTTGAAGTTGTAATAAAAAGTGGGGATACTAATTGTATGCAACGTTTTTTTGCTAGACTGGATGAAAATTAACCAGACAAAGGCCAACCATAAATTTTTCTTGATTTTAGAATGTTTCAAAGAAAAAAGTAACTCCGAAATCAAGGAATCGATATGAGAAGGGGGATGTCGTTCGAAAAAAACCATCTATCGAGACGAAATTAATAAGTTTATGGTATATTAACAAGAATCAAAAAATGGTCTGGGGAACAAAACACACTCTACTTTCGCTATTGAAATTTAGATCAACATTTTGGTTTTCGAAAATGAAAAATATTTTATAAAGAATTAAAATGTGCCCTACACTAGAGCTACGGTGCTTTTGCATTAACGGGGGGCTTACATAAATAGCGAAAGTGTTTCTAAGCTGTCTTTTACTTTCCTTAAACGTCAAAAATAATGTTTCGCGTTTTCATTGCTTTGGGCCTCGTGTAAATTCCATATTGTTGATTCCTAAACTCGTAAGTAAAACTCAACAAAAAAATAAGTATTAGGTTGGACCGAATCAACGCTTATTTATCAAGCTAAAAATAAAAAATTAGCAAGATTGGAGCGCTGAAAGCTCGGCATCAAAAATTTACATCATTGCTTCGCAAAATTAAAATTTCAGTTAAAAATAGCAATTATCAAACAACATCTTTATAAAATTTGCATCTTTAAAAAATAACTATAAAGATAAAGTAATTTGTTTAATGAACACAAAAATTTCTAATCCTTAATTAAAAAATAAAACTAGAACCTGGTTATGAAAATCAAGAAAGTTATAATGTTTCGAGTTCTTACTGCTTTGGAGCTTTCATGAAGACCGTAATTCTGACTGAATAGAAGTAGCAGAACAAGAAATACACGTTCCGGGGCCGTAGGGGGGGGGCGTTACGGTATTTTGGTCGTTGCTTAGAACAGAGAGCGTGTGTGGGTGGTCATGGTGGTCGCGCGTTTTCCATAAATCCTGAAATCCCTCCCATTTCGAGGTATCAAAACAACCCCAACTGCGCAATCGTGGGCCGCAATTTTTGGCCCCGACTTATCCGCCTCGACTTAAAAAAGAATTTTTCATTTTGGCGGCTTAGAACACTTTTCCGAGATGAAAGTTTGTCTGCGTGCGAATGGAGTGGGTTTTGGTTTTAAAGGGAATGGCACTTGGGTAGGCTAGCAGAGATTGTTGAGGAAGAGGAGAGGGCAGGCTAGCAGAGATTGTTGAGGAAGAGGAGAGGGCAGGCTAGCAGAGATTGTTGAGGAAGAGGAGAGGGCAGGCTAGCAGAGATTGTTGAGGAAGAGGAGAGGGCAGGCTAGCAGAGATTGTTGAGGAAGAGGAGAGGGCAGGCTAGCAGAGATTGTTGAGGAAGAGGAGAGGGCAGGCTAGCAGAGATTGTTGAGGGAAGAGGAGAGGGCAGGCTAGCAGAGATTGTTGAGGAAGAGGAGAGAGGGCAGGCTAGCAGAGATTGTTGAGGAAGAGGAGAGGGCAGGCTAGCAGAGATTGTTGAGGAAGAGGAGAGGGCAGGCTAGCAGAGATTGTTGAGGAAGAGGAGAGGGCAGGCTAGCAGAGATTGTTGAGGAAGAGGAGAGGGCAGGCTAGCAGAGATTGTTGAGGAAGAGGAGAGGGCAGACTAGCAGAGATTGTTGAGGAAGAGGAGAGGGCAGGCTAGCAGAGATTGTTGAGGAAGAGGAGAGGGCAGGCTAGCAGAGATTGTTGAGGAACAGGACGGGTCATGAAACATTTCGGAAAAAACGTGTTTTATTAAATGTACTTGTAGCGTAAAAGTTGGCTTTGGTCATTATTGCCTTATATTTCTTCAGAAAATTGTTTCTCGCAAGAAGTAAATCCGCAATTTTATTAAGACCCACGAGTCATTTTAAAAATTACAAAAAATGTTTCGGAATAATCTATCCCGCAAACTACACCGATTAATTCAATCTTGCCGTTTTTATTGTTTTGAACAATCCTACTATATATAAAAACAATAGTGTCTGTGGGTGTGTGCCACTTTGTATGCAACTTCCGTCAGGCTGTCCGGAGGATATCTCAAGGAGGAAAGGGTATTAGGCTACGTATGATACGTCACTAGGTGCGTAATGACCACGAGATGACTGCACATCTACTATAATAATTTTCTTGAGGTGTCTGTGTGTGTGTGTGTGTCCGGTCCCGGATTCAACTCGAAGGGGAAAGGAGCTAGAGCTTAGCTCTCTTCGGATTCGGATAGAGCGTAGTCAGAAACCCCCAAACTGATAAAAAAATTATGAAAAAGTTTTAGTTTAAATTATTAAAATTAACTTTGAAAGTTTTTTCCTTAGTAAAAGGGTTGGGGGACGGAGGTTGGGGTGATTTTGGACATAGTGAGCCATGTGGCGCGCGTTTCGTGGATGAAAATTTTCAGGGGGGATTTCATTTCTTTTTTTCTCTCATTCCATCCGGTCGGTCGTTATTTTCCTTTTTTTAAGGGGATTTCGGGTAGGGGAGGTATCTAAAGCCATTAGGAAGGTATGTAGGTAGTTTGTTGAAGGGGATTTCAGCCATGGGGGGTATTGATGGAGGTGGGAAAGGATGTGGTGGAGTGGGACATGTAGGGTAGCTCGAAGGCCAGATGGTTGCAGTCGCGACGCGACTGTAACCATCTGGTATATCAGATTTTACAAAATTCGTAGTTTTCGACATTAAAAGTACGTTTTTGTTGTAAAATCGGCACCCCTCTTTGGTAGGAAACAATTTGCATCAGCCGGAAATCGCGGGAGCCTATATAATGAACGAGAGAGTGACATTTTTCATTATTCGCATCAAAATGGAGCATCGTAGACAAGTATGCAAAGTGAAGGATATTATGGGGGTTTGACGGGGTCAGGGTTGAAAAGTCGCGAAGCGGCTTTTCAACCCTGGTTTCTTTTAATCGCAAAAACAAGGCAACTCGGATCTGTATTTAAATAATTATGCAAAAAAACCACATGATGTAATAATTTGCCTTCTGTTAAATAAGGTAGTCGTAGCTCAAAATGGCTCAGCAATTTTTGATGGCAATTTATCACGTACCGCCAATTGCGTGGGTTCAGAAAATGCCAGACAGGACGCCGGAAAAGGCCTTTTTGAGCGTCTTAAGCTTTTTATTTGATGTTTCCATTTCAAAAGTGCATCCCGGGGCAGTCGGACCGGATTTACGGCTTA